GAAATATGTTGGAACCCCAAGGACCCAAGAAAAGAAAATATGGTGGAAATGAAATCTCAAGGGATGCCTCCTTGTGCTTAGAAAGCTAAACTATGGCTCAGCCCTCCAAAGCAGATATCTATGATTTTAAATATAAATATTTATACCTGTTCACTATCAGCCTCCAAACTTCTCCATGCTGGTTGTAAACAGATGTGGAGAAGCTTTGCAAGGGTCTGACTCTTTGACGTTGAGCATCTCCAATGCCTCTTCTAAAATTAGCAAGCTTTTGCATCCTCCTATTTTTTTTCCTTTTTTTCTTTTTTTAATATAAATTTATTTATTTTTAGCTTTCAACATTCACTCCTACAAGTTTTTGAATTCCAAATTTTACCCATCCCCCCTCCCCCACCCCAAGATGGCATGCATTCTGAATATCCCTTCCCCTAGTCTGTCCTCTCTTCTATCTCTCTCCCCTTCTCTTATCCCCTTCCCCTTCTATTTTCCTATAGGGCAGGATAGACTTCTGTACCCCATTTCCTGTATTTCTTATTTCCCAGTTGCATGTGAAAACTTTTTTTTTAAACACATGTTTCTAAAACTTTAGGTTTCAAATTTTCTTTCTTCCTCCTTCCCCACCAACCCTCATTGAAAAGGCAAGCAACTCAATATAGGTTGTACATGTGCAGTTATGCAAAACATTCCATAGTAGACATGTTGTGAAAAACTAACTCTATTTCCCTTAATCCTATCCTGCCCTCCCATTTATTCTATTCTTTCTTTTGACCCTGTCCCTCCTCAGAAGTATTTACTTCTGATTACCCTTTCCCAATCTGCCCTCCTCTCTATCCCCCTGCTCTCTTGTCCCCTTCTCCCCTATTTTCCTGTAGGGTAAGACAGATTTCCATACCCAATTGAATGTGTTGTTATTCCCTCCTTAAGCCAAATCCTATGAGAATAAGATTCACTCATTCCCTCTCACCTTCCCCCATTTCCCCTCCACTGTAAGAGACTTTTTTTTCTGTTTTTTTTTGTGAGATAATTTACCCCATTCTACCTCTCCCTTTCTTCTTCTCCGAGTATAATCCTCTCTCATCCCTTAATTTTATTCTCCAGATATGACCCCTTAATCTTCAACTCACCCTGTGCCCTCTATCTATCTATCTATATACATACATATAATTTTTTTCCTCCAACTACCCTAATACTGACAAAGGTCTCATGAGTTATAAATATCATCTTTCCATGCAGGAATGTAAACAGTTCAATCTTAATAAGTCTCTTATGATTTCTCTTTCCTGTTTACCTCTTCATGTTCCACTTGAGTCCTGTATTTGAAAGTCAAATTTTCTATTCAGCTCTGGTCTTTTCATCAAGAATGCTTGAAAGTCCTCTATTTCACTGAATGACCATTTTTTCCCCTGAAGGATTATACTCAGTTTTGCTGGGTAGGTGATTCTTGGTTGTAATCCTATCTCCTTTGCCCTCCGGAATATTATATTCCATGCCCTGTGGTCCTTTAATGTAGAAGCTGCTAAATCTTGTGTTATCCTGATTGTGTTTCCACAGTACTTGAACTGTTTCCTTCTGGCAGCTTGTAATATTTTCTCCTTGACCTGGGAACTCTGGAATTTGGCTACAATATTCCTAGGAGTTTTCCTTTGGGGATCTCTTTCAGGAGGAGATCTGTGGATTCTTTCAATTTCTATTTTGCCCTCTGGTTCTAATATATCAGGGCAGTTTTCCTTGATAATTTCTTGAAAGATGATGTCTAGGCTCTTTTTTGATCATGGCTTTCAGATAGTCCAATAATTTTAAATTCTCTCTCCTGGATCTATTTTCCAGGTCAGTTGTTTTTCCAATGAGATATTTCACATTGTTTTCTAATTTTTCATTCTTTTGGATTTGTTTACAGTGTCTTGATTTCTCATAAAGTCACTGTCTTCCAATTGCTCTATTCTAATTTTTAAGGAAGTATTTTCTTCAGTAATCTTTTGGACTTCCTTTTCCATTTGGCCAATTTTCTTTTTAGGGCATTTTCTCCTCATTGGCTTTTTGGACCTCTTTTGCCATTTGGGTTAGGCTATTTTTTAAGGTGTTATTTTCTTCAGTATTTTTTTGGGTCTCCTTTAGCAAGCTGTTGACTTGTTTTTCATGATTTTCTTGCTCACTCTCAGTTTTTCCTCTACTTCCCTTACTTGCTTCTCAAAATCCCTTTTGAGCTCTTCCAAGGCCTGGGACTGATTCATATTTTTCTTGGAGGCTTTGGATGTAGGAGCTTTGACTTTGTTGTCTTCTTCTGGTTGTATATTTTGATCTTCTTTTTCACCAAAGTAAGATCTATAGTCTGACTCTTTTTGCACTGCTTGCTCATGATCCCAGCCAATTACTTGAGTTTTAAACTCTTTGTTAAGGTAAGAGTCTGCTTCCAATGTGAAGAATGTACTGTCCCAAACTTCAGGGATATGTATAGCTGTTTTGAGAGATACTTGTAGGGACCTGTAAATTTTCAGTTCTTCCA